AAAAAGTCAAAAATGAATAAAATATCACACAATGGGCCAGGGGGGTGTAAATGGAAAATGAGGGTGCAAGAAGCAGAAACAACTCAGGCCCAGCCCAAGGGGCTTGTCTTCAACCTCAAGCTTCTGTTTGAAACAAGAAAACGCGCGTTCCTTGCTCAACCTGCTAACTTCTGATTCTTTGATTTTTAACAAAAACTTACAACATCAATAATGTAGAGCATCAAGTCACGATTTCAGACATATAAAAAAGTTGTTCTAACTCTCAGAAACGAGAGAGAATTTCTCCTCCCCCAATTTCTGACCTAACTTTTCTTCCATTTTTAAGTTCAAAATTCTCACAGCACACACAATATAAATGAAAAGTAACTACATGGATGGCTTCAGGGCTATGAGTAGAACATGCTTTCTTCACAAACTTAAGCCTAACTATGCTTGGATAGAGAGATAAAAGTTCAAAATTTTACCTGTTCAGCTTGAGTCGTGTGCAGCAATGGAGGTGCCTTCAATGGAGTTTGAGGATTTGTACAGCTTGCCTGAAGTCCAAGGATGCTCCTCCAACCTCTAGCTTGCTTTGAAACTAACTGAATCGAGCTATGTAACTCAACCTGCACAGCTGAAAAGTGAAAATGGTAAACTTGGTTAGGGGTGTTACAGTCTATATCTAGGGCTTGGGATAGTTTGTATGGATGATATAGAATGTGTTTGAAGTGGTTTTAGCCAAAGCGCACAAATGGATTAAGCTGGCCAAATCAAACTGCAGCATGTACCCTGTTTTGCAACAAAACTGTGTTTTGATGAATGAGAAGGTTTGAGCTCTGGTTGATTCGTGTTTTAGGTCAGTTGGATCAAGTGAAAAATGTTTACAAAGTTTGTTTAGGCTTGTGTTGACAGGAGATCCAACTTTTGATATCTTTTGCAACGTTTCTTCTTCTCTAAGCAAAGTTTGTCAAGTTGGGTTATAGGCTCATACAGGCCCCTCAAGCATGCTGCATTTTCTCATCTTGATCAGTGGGATTTGTCCACAAACTTGTGCCTCAAAGATCTCCTTGTACTTCCAAGATATGGACTTTGACATAAAGCATTGCTTTTTCAAAATGGCAAACTTGCTTTTTCTAATTATGGACTAATCTTGCATGTAATGGCTAAATACACAAAATAAGACTTGAACACAAAGGATATGCATTAAATTATTGAGTGTGAGAAAGATTAGAGGCCTGTAATCTAGCTTGAACCATGCTGAGTTTGAAAATGCAAAGTGTATGAACATGCCTTGGTCAAGAACAAAAGTGGATTTTGCCCAACTTTGCAAATTCGATTCTCCTTAACCACAAGGGTGTTTGAGAAGTTCTTGGACAATTTGGAAATCTTGGAATGTGTACTACAATCCATCTTTATAATGCAAGTTGAAATTCAAAGTGGAAGCATGTGAAAAGTGACCATGAAGTTGGGCAAAAATCCTGCATAGAATAGGTCAAAAATTTTCTAAGTTAAGAATGTTTTGCACCCTTGTTCCAAAAATCATAACTTGAGCTACAAGCTTCTTTTGAGGAAACTTTGTGAATCACAGTTGTAGATTTTGTAATGGACTACAACTTTCATGTTTTGAGTTTTGTTTGAATCCATTTGTATCTTGATGAAAAAATGGGACAAAGTTAGGAAAAAATAAGGAAATTTTATAACTTTGAAAATTTATAAGTTATGAAATTTCTTCATTTTAAACCCTAATTTGCAATTTTGGATTTCTTGATGAACAAGTTTCATAATTTGACATGTCTTGATAAAAAATGAATCTTGACACTTGATTTTGACCAAAAAGTCAAAGTTTGACTTTTCAGTATACAGTCAAATTTTGATCAGTTGATTGGAATATTCATCTGTCAATCTTGTGCATTTGAGATCTTTTGAACTTGTTGAATGGGTCAAGACAATGCAATTGAGTCCTTGAATCCATATGTGAGCTTGGTTTGTCATTGGTTAGGTCAAACAGTCAAAAATTGCCTTTGTGCAGTCAAAACCCTAAAAATGACCATTTTGCCCTTTTGGTGATCTGATCAAATTTCTTGTTGAATTGTGATCCAAACTTGACCAAATGGTTCATATGAGTTCATTATGTTGATGTGGGTCAAAAATCATGAGGTTTGACTGTCAATTGGCCACAGTTGACTTTTTCACCAATACAGCTGATTTCTAGGTCAACTGTCCAATTGACTGGGCAAAGATTGGAATCAAGGCTTGAAACTTGGTATGGATAGACTTGTGAGTCCAACATGAAGCATGAAAGTCACTTTGAGCATTTTAGGTCAAAACATCCTTGTGCAAACTCAAACCCTAATTTGGGTCAACAGTGCAAAGAGGAGTCTTGAGCAGGACAAACCCTAACTTGATCTTGAGCTCCAAGAGTCTTGTGATGAGAAAATATTGGAGAAATGAGAGGGCAAATTTTGGGGTACAACAACTATAAATTGTCCATGGTTGACTTTTTCTCAATACAGTTGATTTTTAGGTCAACTGTTCAATTGATTGATCAAAAGTATGATTCAAAGCTTGAAACTTGACATGAGTAATCTTAGGGGTCCATAATGATCCTTGAAAGTCATATGAAGCATTGATAGTAAAAAAATCCTTGTGCAAACGCAAACCCTAATTTTGGTCATCAGTGCGTGAGGAGATGTCTTGAGCTGGTCAAATCCTAATGCAGTCTTGAGTCAAAGAGATCTTGTGAGGAAATTCTTGATAAGCGAGAGGGCAAATTTTGGGGTACAACACTTCCCTTTTCACAATCTACCCCCAGAACTCAATAAAACATCTCTAAAGGTCTTTCCGGTTCTTTTCAGCCTTTCCTTATTGGATAAAAGAAAAGTCGATGGCGACTCTTGCTATCCGCACAATTGTGATCAAACACAAAACAACCAAGTCAGTTCTCCCACCGTGTTACAGAACTGACAACTCTGCTGGGGATAAACTTAAAAGTGGGGTTATCTTAGGGCTATAACACCTTTACTTGTTTTCTTTGTTTGACTTGTATGCTTTACATTATGATTCTTTGTTTGGGTTTGCTTTGATCCTCTACCCGCATCTGGGACACCTTTTTAGGTAAGTAGCAATATATTGTTGAAATTGTACGGCATAGACCGATATGGTTAAAGCAATGGCTACGTTAGTGTGACGCATTTGTTGGTACCGGTATCCCTTGTATTGAATCGAGGAGAATATGGGGCCGTTGACTGGCGTCATGAAGCACTAACTGACTTTAGAACCGTAGTTGAACAACTTGACCATTAGGACGTAGTGAGATAACCAGTTTCGGTGGAAAGCTGAAAATTGGTTGATACTCGATACTACACTCATTGAGATTGGAATTTTGGGATATCTCGGTCGCAAGAAATGATTGATTGTGCTGAGACAATGCCTAAAAGAAAGGTCGGTGATATTGAGATCCTTTAGAACCTGTTTACTATTACTAGGACAGGTTGAGCTAACTAAACTTCAAGAGGGTACTTACCTATAAGACTCCATGCAAGCCTAAAACATAAGGACTTGTTTACCTTGTGTGTATATGCTTACTTGTACATAACATCATAAACATCATACACATTCTTACTAACCATTTCAAGGATTTTGGAATTTATCTTTGTTTTTTTTTGTTTTGTAGGCCATGAGCTCTGTCAGAAGGAACACCATCAGAATCAGCTTCGTAAAAACACACCCTCAGCTCCAAGAGTTAGCATCAAGGGTGCCCAGAGATTCTCCTTTTACCAGGAAATTTGGTCGACTCCTCAATGTCATACCCCAAATTTGCCCGCCTTAGTGTTACCGCCGAATTTATTTTCGAACTTGGGATTTACAGAGTATAAAATTCCTTTCATTTAAATTATATTAATATTCTGAGGTTTTTCTATAAAAAAATTCGCTTTCAAGTCTGTTTGAAAATATAATAATAATTATTTGTATTGTTAAAAATAGAAAATATAATAATTATTTGTATTTTTAAATAAAAAATAATCGTTCACCTTCATATACTTTTATTTGACTTTTTACTTTCGAATGAGTAACATAGCATAGTTGGTAAGGGAGAAAGACGGGCAAGCAGAAGGTCACGAGTTTGAATCTCACTCGGTGCAAGCACTTTTGGATATTTTTGCTGTTACTAACTTTATTTTTATTTTCTAAACCACAGAAATTATATTTTTTATTATTAAATTATTATTTTCGTATTTATTTATTTATTATATTTTGAAAATATTATTTTTTATTAAAATATTAATTGTATTTAAAAAATAGTCAAAATACCTTATAAATAAATAAAATCTTTCCAGATCAATTTTGCTATATATCAAATTTTGCACCTGGACGCAAATATGTCCAAATTCTTAATCTTGCTGACCAAGATGAGAATTTGGGCTTTGGATGTTGGATACTTCCTTTTTTGGATTTTAAACTAATTTTTTCACTTATAAATAACCCTAAAAACTTATCAAGAAAGGGGGGCGAGAAAAATCAACAATCATCCATAATACACACAATTTCACCAAAAATTCACAATTTTCACATATCAACAAATCCACAAATTCTCACAAATCACTATTTCCTATCAACAGCTTCACAATCATGAGAAATTCAATTTTTTTTTGTTTTGGTTTATTACAAGGTTTCTAAACAGAAACCTTAAAACCCTATTGTCCCTGTTGTTGTCTATATCAGACAATAACCCACAAATGTCCACGGACTTTCATATGAGGCCCTCACCCACTTTAATTTCAATTTTATTGTTTTAATTTTAACTTGTTTTGTTATCTAAAACTAAATGATGATATTACCTAATAGTTTTTTTTAATATTAACAATTTTTCCAAACACAAGAAGAGGCGAATTTCATACACTACACAAACATCTATGTACAAACTCAGTTTCTACACACTAATTTTTTGCACACAATTTTCAATTGTTACACAAATTTCATTATAAACTACCTATTGTAGCTATATTTTTTAGTCTCTAACCTTAACTCATTTTTTTATATAAAAAACTCACTTTCAATACAACATTAACCTTAGCCACATCCATCACCATCTTCACTGCAACACCAACCCATGCTAAAACTCTGTTTTCCTTTTGTTTTCCTTCTAAACCATATACACAATTCTCACGAAAATTAACAACAACATCTATAAATAATCAATCATACAAAACTCAAACAAAAAACCTAAGAAATTTGTTATGTTGCTATCTCTGTTTATATAATATGCAGAAAAAGAAGAATAAAAAGAATTCAATTCGCAAGATTTTTAAAGAAGAACAATCGTCACAGATCTGCGAGAAGCCCCTGTTTGAACACCTTTCGACATCACCGCTTCAGCCTCCAGCAGGCCTTTCATGGTGAGATCCCGAAACCATCTTCCCTCCAACACAAACGGAGCTACTCTTCTGGACATACCCCACCATCCACCGTGCAACATCCATTCACGGTGACACATCCGACCTCCGCTCAGATCGCGAGCTATCGCTCTTCTCTGCCATCGTTCATTTCTTCAAAAGGCTTTTTTCCTTTCTTTTTTATAGATTTTAAATACTTGTGATTGTGAAGCATGTTATTTTAATTGATTAGGGATGGGACCATTAGAAAAGAAGTTATTGAGAACTGAGTGAGGAAAAGTTCACAAACGAGTGAGAGAAGAGAGTTACAGATCCCAATTTAACCTTACTGTTTTCAATTACTTCATTTATTTTTTTAATTAAATTAAAAAACCATATACCACGTGTCAATTCGTGGCTGGTTCATAGTTTAAATAAAATAAAAAAGAAAGAAAGATAGTGGGAGGTAGGAAAAGGGCACTGCCCGTGACCTATTCTTGATTTGTTAGATTTTATTGTTTTAACCATGTACCTTGTTTTATAATTAGGTTTCATTTGACTTTAGGTAGGATCTTTTTAGACTTTTATTTAATTTAGTTTTATTTGAAAAATTATTGTTATATGATACCATAAGAATTCTAATTGTACACTTAACTTGGATAATATATGTCATGCGTAATAATAAACTTTCTCATCATTTTTTTTTAATATTTATATAAAATAAATGTTCTATTTTTAAGTGATAAATAAAATATCTTACATAAGACAAATGTCTTATTTTTAATAATACAGAAAATAAAACTTTTGTAAATCAAATTGATTAACATTTACGAAAAAATCAAAATGCACGCAATTCATTAAATATGCCACCCGCGCGTAACACGTTGCCACATGGTGAGGAAGACTATATCAGACTTCCTCCGCGTCCTTCATAACGAGCAACACGAAGTCAATATCTGACCGCGTGGTGAGGAGACTATATCAGACTCTCCGCCCACGTCTTAATCAAATAAATATCAAAACAACTAATTAATTACAAACTATTTTTTTCCTACTAACATAACCAAAGCTCAAGATTATTTTCGAAAAAGGATTAAAGAGAATTATTTCAAATTAACTGCGAACTGCGTCTACAATCACTCACCTTTCAAAACCCAGACGAGGTTCAAGGGTAAATTCGAAAGCAATTCTACGCGATCCTATAAAAAACACCAACCCATACGAACTACGAATTGGGACTCCGATTCCTCATAAGAGGATACATAGGCATACGATCTAAAATCGTGACGAGTCTTTCTAATTAAAACTTAAAATCCAGTTTACCCCAAACCTAAACCTAGAGGCTAATATCCTTGTGAACAAGGTAGAAGAAAGGTTCCCAACACCTTCCTTTTGTCTAATTGAGTCCGAAACCTAGAATCTCTGTATGCGAATTAGGGTTTTCTGTTAGGTTCCCTTCCATAGGATAAAAACTAATAATGGCGACTCTTGATTAAAAAACCAGTCGCAACACTCAGTCGGGCTACCTCAAATTTCCAAGAAGAGATGATGTGTGTGCTCTTCCAATTCTTTGATCCCATACATCATTGTTTCACTTTTCCTGACTATCAGTTGGTACCTACACTTGAAGAGTTCTCTCTATTATTAGGGGTGCCCGTGCTTGATCAGATACCATTCACCGGTCTAGAAGGGATTCCGAAACCCGAGGTCATCACCGAAGCTTTGCATCTGAAGAGAGCCGGCATCATAGCAAATTGGGAGACAAGAAGCAGAGTCAAAGGGTTCCTAGCTAAGTTTCTATTGGAAAAGGCTCGTTCATTCTAGAAAGATATGGATTTTCAAGCTTTTGAAGACGTCCTGGCTATTCTCATTTATGGTTTGGTTCTATTCCCTAACTCAGACCAAATTATAGATGTTAATGCTATCAAAGTCTTTCTCTCTCGCAATCCTATACCTACCTTGTTGGAAAACATCTTACATTGCTTCCATACCCGCACCATGAAGAAAAGACGTACTCTCTTGTGTTTTATTCCCCTACTCGCCAAGTGGTTCACTTCACACCTACCTCGATCAACATTGAAGAACGAGCAAAGATTGACATGGTCTCAAAGGATGATGTCCCTCACCCACTCTGATATTCATTGGTGTTCGAGATCCTTGGAAGATACTTCTATCATTGACCGTTGTGGGGAATTCCTTAACGTCCCACTGCTTAGTATTAGGGGAGGTATCACTTACAACCCTTGCTTAGCTTTATGACAGTTTGGGTATGCCCGAAGAGATGGTCCTCATGAGATGCTCATCCAAGGTGTGATGTTCGAATACGAAAGCGACGATCAAGGCTATCATCAGAGGTTTGTACGAGCTTGGAGGAGGGTAAACAAAGTGGATAGTAAGACATTGGGACGCAAAAACTCTATTCCGCTTGAGCCTTATCTTAAGTGGGTGTGAGCTCGTGCTCAGAATCTCGTAATGCCTTACCCCTTTATCCTCCCTGTTATCATAGAACCTGTTGTTGAAGGAGATGTCCCGTACACTGTCCTTCATCCCAACATACCTACCTCTCTCGAAGACTTACAAAGAGATTGGGTTCAACTAAAGGAGGAATGAGACACTTTCGAGGCCCGATTCTACGCCAGTGAGAAGAAGGTTTTGGAACTCACCAAGCAGCTTCATGAAGAGCGGAGTTTGAATGCCTACATCGCACCAAAAATGATGTGTTCAAGTTTTTTATCTTAGAAGTTTTTGTATTTTATTTCTTTCATTGTAAGCCCAAAGAGGCATGATGTACTCAAACTTGGATTTATTAATATAACGTGTGTTCATTTTTTGTCTAAAGCAAATTTAAATCTCTAATTTCCTTGAAATCATTTGCATATGCATCTTCATTCATCATAATACGAACATGTTTCTTACAACATGTCTCCTTATCTTTCTACTGTTTATTTCAGTGAGATGGATATTGAACAAACAGTAAAAGATCTCCAAGCGCAGAACGCCCAGTTTCAACAAATGTTCTTGACTCTGGAAAAAGGACAAGAGGATTTGAAAACTCTACTGATCAAAGAAAATAAGAAGAAAGCGAAGAAATCAACCGGTGTTTTGAATCTGGGAAGAAGGTTCAAAGGACCAGCCAGACGGACTCTAGACTTCACAACATCATCAGGTGAAAGGGATAATCAAGAAGGGAAAAACAAGGAAGTGACTGACCCTCCAGAATCTGAAGAGGAAGAAGAGGTTGACTACTCTAAAGAGCATTATCCTCCAGCTGACGACAAATACAAACAGTTGGAAGATTGCCTCAATGCTATGGAGATCCAGAAGGTACCCGGGTTAGATTTTGAGGAGCTATGACTTGTCTCAGGGGTTGTCATACCGCAGAAATTCAAGGTCCCCACTGTTGTACCCCAAAATTTCCCTCCCATATTTCTCAAGACCTTTCAAGAATAGTCTCCAAGTTGCTCAAGATTGCTCAAGAGTTGGACAGTCAAATCATCTCCTAAAGCAGTCAACCTCAAAATTAGGGTTTTGTGTTGCATCAAGGTCCTTACATCCGAATGACCTAAAATTCTCCCCAATGTCCTAATATGTCCTCAAGGTCATCCATGTCAAATTTCAAGCCTTGCAGAAGAATTTTGGTCAGTCAATTGCTCAAGAGGTCCAAAAATCGACTGTGCTAGGGCAAAAGTCAACTGTGACCCAAATACAGTCAAACCTCAAGATTTTTTGTCAACATTCTCATTTTTAAGGATAATTCATCATTTGATCAAGGGTTAATCATAATTCATCAAGGATTGCTCAAAATTCATCAAGATTCAAAAGTTGCTAAATTAGGGTTTTGCAGAAAAAGTCAACTCAACTTTGAACAAGCATAACTTTCTCATACTTTATGATAAATGACCCATCCAAAGCTCATTTTTAAGAGGATGAAATTTCCTACAATCCGTCTTCACACCCCAAGATCAAGAAATGCACTCACAAAAAGTTACAAATTTGGACATTATAGGTCATTTTTGAAAATCAACAAAAACACCTTTTTTGCCAAACCTTATAACTTGAGCATGGAATATCAAAATGATATGAGACCAAAAGGGTTGGTTATAGGACATATCAAGGTTTCTAAATAGTCCAAGAACACCTCCAAAAGTTCAAAATTGAAGAAGTTATGCATTGTTGAAGTTGGGCATTTTTTCCAAAATTGCCAAAAGTCAACTATCCCCAAAACTTCAAATTTTGTCAAATGGGCCCACTTTTTTCCACTTGATTTGATTTTATCACACAACACACGTGTCATATCTCCAGTCTTGTGCCAATTTATTAATTTTTCTATTTTATTTGATTTTTATTGATTTAATTCATTTTTAATCAATTTAAATCCAAATAAAATCCAAATCTTAATCAATTGGAATCTTTTTGATTGATACATGTCTTTAATATCATTATGGACATGATCAAATTCGAATCAAGGCATATCATGAACAAATATTGGATTTTTTGACAAATTTGGAAGCTTGTTCATGGAGGATCATATCATATCTTCAATCATCAATACACATGGATTCAAAGCCCAAAACTAAACCTAATTCACTCTATAACACTTGTACAAGCTAAAGGCACGAGGTAGATGACCTAGAGGCTGCACAATCTGCAAAACAAAAACTTGAAAAAGCTTGAAAAAGTGGGAAACTGAAATCTTGGTTAGAGGCTGATTCAGAGCAAAACCTCCACGCTATCTTCTTGCTGGACATCCATTGAGGCTAAAGCAATCAGAATCAAGCCCTCTCCCTCCCTAAATCGCACTGTAAGTCTCCTTGAACATACCCCTGTACACGAAACTGCAACCTCTCATTCTTGCATTTTTTTGACAAACTATTGGCATGGTTATGATCCTTGTGTGATTTCTAAGCGTTCTGCAATATTTGATTTCGTTTTTATGGCCTGTAATGTAACACCTGAACCTAGGGTTTTCGTTTCTTGTTTTTAGGCGTTTTTACTACAGGTGAAATCAAGACAATTGATGGATATAGATGTGTTCACGAGACCCAGACGAATCGAGCCATGGTCTTGGAATTGATTTCTATGGCCTAGAGTAGATTTTAGAAGGCAGTTACGAATTTAGCTG